TAATAAAAACACTAATTTTTTGATTCAACGACTCCACATTGCCTCATTACTTACTTTAATGCACATTTTGTAAAAATTTACTTTAAAAAAAAAATTTTGGAAAAAGTAGGATTTGAACCTGTGACATACAGAGTTCTAGTCCATCACCCTATCCGCTAGGCTGCGCTTGCCATGTGCATAGCTGCATGCCATGTGCTAGCAATGGAACAGCACCTTGCTAACATACTCCTATAAATGTGTACGAAAATATTACAATGTAAATTTCTCGCGAATACGTGAATACTGCACCGTATCATGTGCACATGAAGTAGTTGGGGATTGATACTACAACATATATAAAGTTCGAGAAAATCGGTGACTTTACTACCTGGTCCTTCCCTTGTGAGTGCACACTTGTTTACAGTCAATTCTTATATTTAAGAATCGTCTTAAATGTCTCTTGAAATATTTCGTAGCCAGTAAAATGATCTGTATAGCATCCATACGGATCATTTTTGGCTAAATACTTTTTGAACGTATTTAAGAAAAAGCTGAATATAAAAATTGACTATAAACTGACCTTAGTGTGCACTCAGTGCGCACTAGCAATCGAATTCGCTGTTAGGTTCATAGAAAATGCAGGACGATGTTATTAGCATTGACCATTGGGAAACCTTTTAGTCGACTCCGACTCGGTTTTGGAATTCTTGGAGCCCGGTATCTCTGCAACGTAAAATAGATACACTCTGAGACTGACATATCTGTAATCAGCTCGACGAGACCTTTTGTTTGGTACCTACTTTGTGACCAAAATCGAATGTGAGCAAAATGGGACTTATCTTTTTCTCACTCTTTCGAAGAACTCGAATGAAATTCTTGGAAACGCCGTGTTGTCCCACGATTACATAATTTTCGGGAGAAATTTTAAGAGAAAATTCTCTCCGCGAGTTAAATGTAGATTCAGATAAGTATGATTTTCAGGATAAATTTGAAGAAAACAAATTCTCTCCGTGTAAGAAAGTGTTAAGCGACGTTATCGCGTATATTTTATCGCGAGCGTCGTGCTTCCTAGACGAACACTTGAAAATGCGGCGGAACGCGCGCTGTATCGCGATGATTATCGCGCTTCGAACGCTCGTCGGATAGCCGCAATTGTAAGTAGCAATCGCATTAGGCCGCCGCCTACCAGCGACAGTCGTACCACGACTTAATGCGATTGCTCAAGCTCGACGGTTCGATTATCCTATCGTACTTGGCGCCGATCCTATTTGCCGTATCCATGAAACGCGCGGATCCGAGCGGAGTCGAGACGGAGGGCCTCGCGTACTCTCTCGATCCGGCGGAAATGACGTTACCACGCTACGGCCTATTATTAATGGAAATCCAATTTCTATTGATTCAATTTCAGTTTGATTGTCGGGCATCCGGCCTGTGGGAACCGAGCATCGCTCGCGTACATGGCACGCGTCTCGCGAAACCGTAGAAATATTTGCCTCGCATATATCCGCCGCGCTCTCGGCCCCGTAAATATACATTTTAATAACGCATCGGACGTTGTTCCGATCCGGCCTATTGTTCCAGTTCGATTTGCCCCCGGGATATCAATAGCACCTCTGAAAGTCCTCTGATTAATCGTGAATGGCTAGAACTGACAGTATCTCTCCTTTTTTTCCCCCCCAACACATTTCTCATTTAGCGAACCGGAACGGCTCTTCTCTATTTTTCCTTTACCCTTTTTTACAACGAAAAACGATTTTAATGTCGTGACGCGCGCGATGAATGATGGCATTTTGTAAAATTAAATCGCAATCCGGGCTGAACGTCAACTCGATAATGCCTCGCTTTTCTCGTTCGATCGATCAAATTCCGCGTGAAAAAAAGCGACGCGGTCACGGAGCAATGGAAATTTTTGCAAATTGTCGGCACTCGACGCCGGATCGTGCCGGAGAGCCGGCGTGCGGCCATCCAAGAGAATTTCTCGGCGCGGCGGCCTGTAGCTTTCGTTGAAACGGAAGGAAATTACATTGCGCGGCAAAACCGCGACCACGAAGCTCGTTACGGTTCCCGCACGGGGAAAACTCGGGGAGTAAAAGGCGAGAGGGAGAGAGAAAAAAGGCGCCGGTGCGCGCTCTTCATTCAAGAGCGACTGCCGGCTCTTTCGCCGATGTGAAACTCGTTAGAAATTTTTCGCAACGAGTCGCGCGAATTTCCCCGCCGCGAACGAGTCGCGAACGAGTCGCGAACCACTCGCGGACGCGGTGTGCACGAGGTTGCGTACAAAGCGCTGCTTGTACGAGCGTTCATTCATTAATCCGGCCCCCGACTATTTTCAGAACGGCGAGAGGCACTTTCTCGCCCCGCGCGTTGCGTCTGCTCCGCGTGAAGATCGATCGCGAATACGCAGGAACGGGGGCTGATCACGGCTGATGCTTCTCGCGTCGCTACCGCGAGAAAGTGAAGAGCCCCCGCGTTCTCCACTATTGATTCGGCGATATTACTTTCCGGGACAGTAGGCACTCGATGCCGCACTCTTGTTTCAAACTCGAACTTGCGCCCCCGCCGTCCAGCCGAAGATCGATCAAGCGCCGAGCAACATCCCGCGGAAATTGTCGCGTATGTCGTTCGCGATTTAATTTTACAAAATGCCATCGTTCACCACGCGCGTCACGACATTAAAATCGTTTTCGTTGTAAAAAAGTTGTAAAGGAAACTCGGAGGAGGGAAATAGAGCCGTGTCGGTTTGCGAAATGAAAAATGTGTTGAAAGAGAAAAAGATTTTGTCAGCTGGTTGTTTCTCGAGCCCCTCGCGATTGATTAGAGGACTTTCGGAGGCGCTATTGATATCCCGCCCAGTGAACACAGTTATTTAACAGTTATGTTAACATATAATGTAACCAGTTAATATTGCATGAAAGTTATACGTAACGTATATATTTGCTATTATTTCTCACTCATGGATGCAACATGTAATGTAATGATAATGTAACGTTCCTTAGAGCATAATGTAGAGGCTGTTCCAGGAGAAAAGGTCAATATTCTGGGAAGTGATAGTATCAGCCATTTTAAGCAAAACTGTTCATGTGAATATATGCCCCATTCCCCGCTGTTTCCGAGATAGAGCTACTTGAATGTTTCGTGTCTCTTTGTGGCGCATCGCGAACGCCGCGTAAATAAGAACGTCATTCATAAAAGTTCACGCGAGACGGGCGGTAACGATGATTGATGCCATCGATCAAGTGCAATTATCGCTAACGAACGGTTCCTTTCGGTGTTAGCCGAGTTATTCCGGGCGCTTCTAAACTTAATCAACCGTGGACTTCGGTGGAAAAGCCCTCTCTCGAGCCCGCATTGCGAGACGAGTCCACTTACTCCCATTGATTGCTTGATCGGCAATAGAACCATTTGTGAAATTATATTTGAGAATAAGTAGTTATGGGGATTAGTATTGTGCATCACGCAATGCGCTATAATTCGTGTATTTTCGATGGCTTTTAATACCAGGCGATGCCGCGTAATACAGCAAATGTCCCAATTACTCTTCTATCTCGACATTTCCATCTCTTTGACGTGAGAAGCAAAGAAATACATAAAAACAACATTACACGTGCAAAATATATCGTGACGCGCTTCCGTTTCTTCATTTTTCATCAAGAGACTATTTTTTCATGCATATTTGTTTTAATAACTTTTGCGATCTTGCGAATTTTGCAATAAAAATTGAAAATTGGATAAAACTATGCTCCGTTGCGACGAGGAATAATTCAGCTCGATTTTGCCTGTCTCCCAACGGAAAGAACTGACTGGAGGCATTGTACGTTTTCATGGAGATACGCGTGCACGCGTTGATAATTATCCTATGTTTCCAAGCATTCCCGCGAAAGCCGACGGTATCCCAGGAAGATTTTTTTATTCTCTCGTGGCACCGCGTACCGAGCTTACCCTTCGGGAAAATCGTACCTACATGCTAGGCACGCTAACTCGCAAACTCATGAAATCGCGACCGCTCGTTAGGAACACGGGATACGATAATTAGAGAATATCGCTGTCGCGGCTAACTCGCGGCCGACCATTTTTCTGCACGAGTCCGGTGCGTGTCGTAATCGCGAAGACGGGAAAAGAGCGCTGCCGCAATTACTCTCCGGTTGTGCGACTGCGAGCGAGCATACGCGAATGAAAAGGTAGGGAAAGTCCCGTTTGTCACGAGCGATTCTACACTCTTAAGCCTGTACCGCGTAGTACCGCCAAATTCGAGGTACAAATTTCTAAGTCGAATAGAGATTCGAGTTACACGCTGATAAGAGATATTTTTCTCGGTATATTAATACGAGGTTTAAATATACGAGGTAACAATGAATATGCAACGATCAATTGGAGGTGCCGCTCTATGAATTTACAGTACCTTTTTTAAGAGGTACACAATTTTCCGTACGTACTTTTTAAAGTTGTACGAGGTGAAAATGTACGTTAAAATGTCTCTTTCCGTGCCAGATAGAGATTTGTTGTACTCTTTCTGTGTTACCACACTCGTAATCGCGAAGACAATGTATCTCATCAAAATAAAATCCCTAATTTCAAGGTACTATCTATTTGGTGGATTTTATGTCTCTCATAATTACGAATGGTTTTTACTTTAACGCACTGAAAAAAATTTCTGGTTGAATATGGACGAATCAGATAATTCCTTTAGGATTTACCAGAATTCCTGTAATCCTACAGAAATTCTGGTAAATCCTAAAGGAATTCTGGTAAATCCTAAAGGAATTATCTGATTCGTCCATATTCAACCAGAAATTTTTTTCAGTGCGCGTACCTCCAATTTTTGGCGATACATGCACTGCTAAGAAAAATGCTTTGATTGTATCAACAAGACATGTATGACGGAATATATTTTCGTTTAACCAAACAGAATTTCTAGTTATCACGGTAGGGCTCGATATTTCATAACCAGAAGTTTGATAGACTTCACTACACATCTAGTAAATCCTAAAGGAATTCTGATTCGTCCATTTTCTAACAGACGACCGGTTGAATCTACCAGATTTCTAATTTATGCAGCCAGATTTTTCCTTTCAATGTGCTTAACAGTGTATCAACGGTATAAAAAAATGGTTTTGTAGACTTTGATATGTTTCTTGACATTAATCCTCGTCGCTATCGTCACTCGATTTGCCATTTTGTTACAGATGGACAGCAAACGGTGCCGACGCTCTGCGAACTTTCCGCACGATGCGTCGCGTCTCATATTCCCTTCGAGCTGGTGGAGCACTTCTATCCTCCTGTACCCGAGCAGCTTCAGCTGAGAATAGCCTTCTGGAGCTTTCCCGATAACGAAGAAGACATACGGCTTTATTCGTGTCTCGCGAACGGTAGCGCCGACGAATTCCTTCGTGGCGAACATCTCTTTCGCGCAAAGACCGTTAAGGAACCTCTACAAATCGGTAAGACCACTCCGTATCGCAGTCACTTTAACAGAAATTTTATTTTTACCTCGCAGGACTGGATCTTATAGAACCTATGCTTTATCTGTTTTCAATAATTTCACGAATTTCCAATATATATTGACTAAATTAATCTCTGAAACAAAATTTAATAATACTGTGAGAATGTAAGTACCAGACAAGACGTAAATTTGCAGTTTTTTTTATAGAGTTTCATATCTAATAATATCGCCCCTTTAAATTTTTATTTTAAGTCGGTTTTTTGGTCTCTCTTTTTCTCTCTCTCACTCACACACATATACCATATTGCCGTAGGATTTCATCTGAGTGCCAGCGTAAATCCGCAAACAAACGGGGTTAGAGCACAGTTCAACGTCGCTGTAACCTTTGATCGGCGCAGGATTACATCATGTAATTGCACCTGCTCCTCAACGGCCTATTGGTGCGCGCACGTGGTAGCCGTTTGTCTGCACAGAATACACATGGTATGCGCACGGTTAACTTTCGGAAGACCGGCAGCTAGAAAAATGGAGGAAAATCGTGAATGAACGTCCAGTAAAAATTTTTTTCAATTTTTCTCTTTTTTTTTCTTTTATTTCCTTTATCTGTTAAATATACCAGAACAATACATTACGCGCGCTACGCATGCATCAATTAGCATTATCCTTATTTTTACATTTCAGGGTAGGTTGTTTCAGTCTCTTGATAAGTTCGTTAATAGTTAAATCTTAACACATTATAATTATTTTTTACATTACCTTTTATCTTCATCCATTCTTATTAAATTGGTATAATTTTAATGCCTTCTGAATATATTTCCAAACTGTCTCTCATTTTTTTTATTAAATTTTACTTCGTTAGTATCGTTCTCCTTAACTTCTCTTTCTTGAACGTTTTGTTTATTTTCTAACTTTCTTTAAGTATATTTTTTCGTAAACTGTTAAAATTTACATGCGAGATGAACAAAAGAAGTGAAGCATAACACGAATTTTAGGCTGCGTTCCAATATTCACTGTCAGTACTGAAAATGTATAGTATACGTGACGTAAACTATAGATTTTCAGTACTGACAGTGAATATCGGAACGCAGCCTAAAAGAGAGGTAAAGCACACCGCGCTTCGAGAAAACCAATCGGCATCGCGAAAAAGAGGCCTCAACTGTTCGATATTAACGACATTCACGCCGGTAACATCTCTTTTATAGAAAGGGACAATATAGCCACGAATGAAATCATGCATCCCCCTCGTTACCAGTTCTCTCTCCTGATGGACGTAGAAGAACAAATTGTTTTAATGCTATTCTCTTTCAGCCAACGCAAGTATGTCTGAGGGCGCCGGTTAGCGAATCCCTGTCACGATTGCATCGGGAACAGCTCCAGAAGTTCGCTCAATATCTCATCAGTGAATTACCTCAGCAGATTTTACCCACTGCCCAACGGTTGCTGGACGAGTTGCTCTCAAGCCAGCCAAGCGCTATTAACAGTTATTGCGGAGCTCCAGACCCGACCGCTGGAGCTTCAGCTTATGATCAGACCTCCTGGTACTTAGACGAGAAGACGTTACACGATAACATTAAGAAGATTCTTATCAAGTTTTGCGTGCCGGCTCCCATAGTCTTCAGGTGAATATCGCAACGCGGGCTAATTGACCGGCGAGCGCCCTCGCCGTGATTAGTTTAACGTAATAATTCATTCCGTAACTTCCTTTCCAGCGATGTTAATTATTTGAGCACCACCGCGCCACCAGCCGCTTCCGAATGGGCGTCATTGCTGCGACCGTTGAGAGGCCGCGAGCCGGAGGGCATGTGGAATCTCCTTTCTATCGTGCGCGAAATGTTCAAGAGAAATGACCGCAACGCCATACCTCTGCTGGAGATCATCACGGAAGAGTGTATGGCTTGCGAGCAGATTCTTGTTTGGTGGTTCAACACCAAGGTCGCATTACTGAACGGCACTGGATATGGCAGCAAGCATAATATGAACAGCAATGTGCACGCCTCTCAACACGCGTGCTCATCTCTGTGCGACGAGATCGTGGTTCTCTGGCGATTGGCCGCTCTAAATCCTGGTCTATCGCCATCAGAACGCGAGATGTTGCATGCTCAATTTATGGCTTGGCACTTGAAGATCATAGATAAAGTGAGCAGCCTACATTCCCCTTTCTTCGCACCCTCGACGAAGACGAGTTTAACGAGTTTAATTATGTGTTTAGGTTGCCAAGTGCCGTGGCAGTTCTGTGCCGCACAATTCGCACAATAGAAGCAACAGTTCACAGAAGGATTCTCTGAAACATGATCTCGCAGTCTTTACCGGATTTAAGTCGGCGCTCGAAGCTTGCTACCTTGATTGGGATGAATACATCTTGCCGGGAATCACGTATACCGCCGAGAACAATCCTATGTATCACTGTCCCTTTACATGTTTTCGGCATGCCGGAGATACAAGGACGGAGGTCAACCAGGTTGGTATCCCGAGCCGCTTTTGCAACGGATTATAACGCTTAATTGTCATATCGCGTTGAAGGAACAACAGTTAAGGATAAACGTGCATTTTTTCAGGTAAATTCCAGTTCTGCGGTATTGAATTATCAACCGCCAATTTCGCATCATCATGGTCGACGGTCTTTAAATGGCATTGTCGAGTTCAGTTACTTAGACAGACGACGGCTGAATCCGCGTGAATTCCCATTGTGTTCGCGAAGCGGAGGCGGTGATGGAAATCGTAGCAGCGTTAGCTCCGAAGGTTTCTGTGAGAATGACACCGACATTCCTGATATATCTGAATCTCAGGCTGTTCTTAGACGAATTTGTGCTCAACTAAATAATTGCGGCGATACCGATTCGCAGGTTATTATTCTCTTTTTACACTCAAGTCTGTTGTGCGATAAACATCAGTCTTACTGCCTTTCTTACGAGAGTTCTCTCAAAAATACATCACGATACGATTATTTCAGGAAGGGGCTGGTAGCGAGTCATCTTCCAACGTTAGTATGAAGAACGCTCAAGGCTCGGACAAGGCTCGCTCAAACGCCTCATCCGAGACACATAGTGATAGTAGTGATAGTAGTAATAACAAACCTGCTTGCGAGAACTCGAAGCGCAGTAGGACGAATATTGCGGAGTGCCGTGATAAATCGCGCGCGGTTGTGCCCAAAGGGGTCAGTGTTAAGAACGAACAAGAGTCCGATCACGAGAAGGAAGCTGGGAGGCCATTCAAAGACGAGAGCTCCTCATCTAGCAGCGATAGTCCTTCCGGTGACGAGTACAATGTCTACTATTACGATCCAAAAGCTGTGACCAATAATAGTGGCCTGCCGAGTAAATATGCTAAAAGCAATATGCATACCTCCACCACTCAGGATGCCAGTGTAGTTCTAAATAATTTAAAGAAAACGGAAGACCCCTGGGACATATTATTTGCGCGGGCGGAGGGACTTTATGCTCATGGTCATACGAGAGAGGCCTGTATTATTGGAATACAGCTGGCCGAGGAACTTTTGGCCAATCCTCCCGATCTTATGATCGAGGGGCCGCCAGTGCCGGTAAAGAACAAACGAAAGAGGGTATGTTCTTGAAGTAGAAATCTTTCTAAAGGTGAAAATTATAATTACGATGTTAAAGAAACGCGTAATCTTGGTTTTACAGCAACATGTAAATCCAGCGTCTCACCAGGTAACATGCCTTGCGTCAGCAACTTTAGCGAAATGTGGATTCCTGTGCACCGTACTCGCTGAGAATCCGGAGTATCACAATTTGGCGTTTCGCGTGGGTCTTTTTGGCTTAGAAATGGCTAGACCACCGGCAAACACAAAACCTTTAGAAGTAAGATTAAACGGAGCGACGAAACACATTTTGTTTTATGGCATTCGTGAGGTTGATGGTTATTTTCAATTTAATTAGGTCAAACTGGCTCATCAAGAAAGCGAATTGGTAGGTTTACTGAAAAGAATTCCCTTGGGACCGACTGAATTAGCTATGATAAAACAGAGGGCCGAGCAATTAAGAGATGGAGTTATGAAATCAAGAGGACACGCGCTCTTACCTATCATGTTGGCTAGTTTCATATATGACGCACTCGATGTACCAAGTATGAAATATTCTCTTAGTAATATGCATCTTAAACCTTCCATGAATAAATGTCTGATTGAATTGTATTTATATATGGAGACGGAAATATTTCTTTGTCAAACAGAGAATAGAAATATGAAATATTTCACAGGAGTGAAACTACCTGCAGAGATCGATCTGAATCTTGGATTTGATGCCGCTGTAGCTGTTTTGGGATTGAAGGCGAATGTTAGTGAAGCGGATCATCCACTTCTTTGTGAAGGAACTCGCAGACAGAGGTAACATTTGTACTATTAATACATAACATTAATGTGTAATATTCATACATGTGGTATGTGTACATGTATGCACGTGTGTATATTAATCTAACAGTATGTATGATTTTTTGTTCCAGAGGAGATTTGGCTATTACTTTGCTCGTACATTACAAAGATGATCCTGTAAAATTAGCCAGAATAATGGATAAATTGCTGGATCGAGATGTTCATCAACTTATCAAGTCACCTATTCTCAGCAGTTATTACACTTCAAATCCTCCTACAAAGAGTGAAGTAAGAACCCAAGATATTTCTTGCGATACTAAGTTTACAAACTTTGCACATAACGTTCAATGAAACTTTCTAAAATTTTAGATGGCCCGATTTGTTCACGATGAAGAACGTTCGTCTCCTTTAGCTGGAACTGATAATGGCGGTGAAAATATCATTGGCGCAAACAGCAGACCTCATAGTAGTACAAGCGCAGAACTAGAAAGTGGTATAAGTGCATTAAATATACAACCACAAATTGTGCAGCCACCCGTGTCTATTAGAACTAAAGAAACACGGTGTGTATATACACATATCTATGTATATATGTATATAATATATTATGCATCAATTTATATTTGTTGTTTTGCTCATCTAGATATAAAAGCAAAAGACTCTATCCGTCTATTCCGAATCAACCATCAGAAGCGAGCGCACACTTCATGTGCGAATTAGCGAAGACTGTCTTATCGAAGGCTGGTGGTACCAGTTCAACTTCGTTATTCACTCAACCATCCACTAGTCAAAATCATCATGGTCCTCATAGAGCACTTCATATGTGTGCTTTCCAACTTGGCTTATATGCCCTTGGTCTCCATAACTGCGTTAGCCCGAATTGGCTGAGTCGTACATATTCAAGTCACGTGTCCTGGATAACCGGCCAAGCAATGGAGATCGGAGCTCCAGCAATTTGGTTCCTCATTGACAGTTGGGAAGGACATTTGACACCGCCGGAAGCTGTTAGTATAGCTGATAAATCTTCGAGAGGCAGCGATCCGAATATGGTTAGAGCAGCAGCGGAACTTGCTTTATCTTGTCTACCGCATGCACATGCGCTTAACCCTAATGAAATTCAGAGAGCTATATCTCAGGTATGTACAATATAATCAGATATGATTCGATTAAATAAACCAAATAGTTATTAAATCTTTTATTTTATTTTTTCAGTGTAAAGAACAGAGCGAAGCCATGTTGGAGAAAGCTTGTGTCACAGTGGAGCACACTGCAAAAGGAGGTGGAGTTTATCCAGAAGTGCTTTTCCAAGTGGCAAAATATTGGTACGAGTTATATCTTCGGGTAAGTTTGAGTAAAGTAATTTGTTACATGGTAATATAGAAATGGATTAATTTATTAAATATCTCGTCATATTTTTGTTTCGGTAGCAAACTCCCGGTGGTGATCAGCAGGATGAGATTCCTCATGATCCTTTACAATTGGACCTTAATGGGATATTGCTGGTTGACCCAGGACCTTCTGTTGATTTGTCGAATACTCAAATGATGCCCGGACCAGCGCAGACTGTTGTTGTTACCAGCACACAACCACCTCCCCAGCACTATACTCATCCAACGATCACGACTCTGGCGCCTTTAGGTAAAACTGACGATTCTTTTCGCAAAATTATTGAAAGTATGAAATTTAGTTGGATCATTGAGAATATGAAAATACAAAGTTATCATGGAACTTGTTAAATGCCATATTATTATGTTCTAGGAGTTGGCATGCCGTATGCCGTAAGCCCGTATAGCTTTGTACATCCTCATCATTCTATTGCGACGTTCAGCGGTCCGATGCCCTCGCACAGAGTTACTCTACCACCTGCACCGCACATGCAAATGTATCATCCGTTTCCACATCATCCTGGACACCCCCAACATACACCGCACCCACATCATCCATCTCCGGCTGCTCCACCCCCGCCTGGACCATATTACACACCGCAACCTCCGCCGACACCGGGAACGCGTCATTTATACACGATGCAACAACCTATACCGGTAAGCATTATTCTACTGTCCCATTTTTAATCTCAGTGTGTATTAGAAATATAATTTCCCATCTTTATTCAGGTCCAAGCAGGAGTAGCGGGTCCTCTTCCTGGACAAAATAGCTTATCTGGACCCTCATTAGTCCAGACTCAATCTATAATATCGACTGTGAGAGCTCAACCTCAGGTAATTCCCCCTAACAATATATAATAGTATATATATAATGTAATATATTTAACCGTGGATAAAAATTGTTAATTTTCTTGCCGTAGGTTCATAGACAAAATCACACTTTTAATCAGCAACAATTACGGACTCTCATCGCTGCATACCGTGTAGGTATGCTAGCGTTAGATACTTTAGCACGCAGAGTACATGACGATCGGCCTCAAGCCAAATATGCGCGGAATCCGCCCTACGGCGAAGATGTTAAGTTCTTGCTCAGAGTTGCAAAACGGCTTGGTACGCAGTATATGCATCAACTCTGCATCTGTGCTGTAAATAGCATAGTGAGCCCTTTTGTCCTTCATCACGTTGCTCTGGAAGCAGCTCAGTATCTCGCTAGGAACAATCCAGCGCTCATCGTACAACACTTGAGATCTGCCTTGGCTCCGCTAGTACACAAATGCCAACAGATGTTAGTATCATTTTTTATTATAATATATAAAAAGAAAGAAATACAATTTATAATTATAATATATAGAACTGTTGTCCTGAATTAAATCATTTAAGTCTTAAATCAATGTCTAACAGTAACTTGTTGTTTTGATTTTAGGTACATTCAGTGTATGCATCAAAAACTATATCATTTAACAGCTGGCGACTATGAAGAGTTTGCCAGTATTGTTTGCGCAGCAAGGGCTGCTTTCCAAATTAATCCTGAAGGAAATACTCAATTTAAAGAGTGGTTACAATCGATCAAAAGGTAAATCCAACAACAAATATCTTATAATAGATGGATATGAATGAAAATTTGATAAGCTAACAATATATTCCTTTCTCTCTCTCTCACATAGATCTCAATCCTGTAATAAAGACCTGTGGGCACAGATCAATGCGGCATTACAGCAGACCGGCAAATGACACAGGACGGAGCCAGGCGTGACGTGGCTCACTTCCCTTCCTCCTCACCCTCAACCATCCCTGCCGCCTCCACCACCGACAACAACTCTCGTATTACAGCATCAACATCCCTGTCACCCCCATCCACAGAGCGTCGTATGCGTTCACGGGCTGGCTACAGTCAATAAGCTCGCTTGGGATAAAATCTCTATACCATGCATTATTGAGGAACCAGCGGCGCATCAGCTGCCGCCACCTCCTCAACATCAGATAACCGGGCTACCGGGACCATCTGCATGGCAAGAACCAATCGACAGCCGTGGTTCTCAGGGGATCAATAACAGAGACGAACGAGATTTATCTCAAGTTTAGTTAATGTATCTAGAAACGCGTGAGTAGTTGATAACGATCAAGATGATCAAGATGATCAGTTGAAGAAGATATATATGAGTTAGATTAGGTTTAATATGAATAAGTGAAAACAGCTTAATGTATAAGCTTGTGTGTTAAGTTTTACATGTATGCATTATTGCTCGCAAGATAAGATTTACATAGAAATGATGAAACATTCAGTGCGCTATTTTTATGTAATATCTTCTGCATAAAGTGATATGTGTATATTACATTAACGGCCATGAATCAAAATTCATGTTCAGACTCTGACAATGAGTCATATCGGACGTGCGCGAGCGAGTCATAAAGTATAGCAGTTCTTTATGTTAAGATAAATTTATTCTGAGTAAATGAATAAGCTTATTATATCTAGATTTTGTATTTTCTTTTCTTATGGATAATTGCAGTATATGATTGCCATCGCCAATTTTTACAAAATTTCATATTTTATACGTTTGAAAACATTAAATTTGTTGAAAAAAATGTTACTTTTAATTTAATTTATTATCTTATCTAAATTACTTAAATGTAATAATAAATTATTCGTAAATTGACACACACCCACACACACTCTGAAAAAGTTTTTTCGCTACCGTAGCTAATCATAGTTTGCTAAAAATATTTTGCTACCGTAACTACAATATAAATTTCTAAACCACAAACGGTTTGCTGTCGCATCTAATGCAATAGGCACGGTAGCCAAGTATTTAGTTATCACAACTAAATATTAGATGTCCATATTTTACAACTAAAATTTAGTTGCCACATGCAGTTTTTAGCTACGGCAGCTACATTTTTCTTTTCGTACACGCACGCACACACATACAACCACACACTTTTATACATATACATATATGTATCTATAAATGTTTAATAATTATACATATTATATGTTATAAATATTTATGAAACATATATTTAATTGTTGAAATATTCACACATGCAGAACATTATACGTTATTATACTTATGTGTTACGCTACAATTAACTTTTACATAAAAATTTAGAATTTTCTTATAATAATTAAGTTATATTATAAATATAGAATCAACATTTTATTTAAAATTATAGTATTAATTTAGTACTAAATAATTTCCTTAACATTTATGCATTCTAAAATATATATTTAGTTGTCATAATGCAACTATTACAAAATTGTCATTATATGCTACTGTTTGCTACTAATAAGACTTACATAGAGATGATAAAGCATCGAGTGCACTGATCTATGAAAGAATTTACATAAAATGTTATACATATATTACATTACTATTTTTTATTAAAATTTATATTTTGAAATAATATTATATTATTTGAATCAAATGCTTTTCAATATTAGAACGCAAATGCTATTCTATGCGTATATTCGTGAAATTCATAAAGTTGTTCTATTTTCTGTTGATTAAAATAAATAATTGCGAAAATGATTAAAGTAAATAATAAATCACGTAAAATTTTGTATCTCGTATAAAATAGAAAAAGAGATAAACAGAAGAAGAGAAAAGATAATATTAATTTCTAAGAAATTATATATTCTTAATAAATTTAATTAAATCGATTAATAATATATTTTAGTTACATAATTTGGAAGATAAATATTGAATAATGTGTGAGTGTTTATCAATAACATGAATCAAGTGTAATTAGTTTAGACATCAATTAAAGTGCTTATACATATAGAGTGCCCTCGCGTAGGATTTTTTAGAAAGTTTGTTTTTAATTATAATTTAATTTAATTATAAACGAAAGAGAAAATTTTCGTTATAATTTTAAAACCATATAAGAGCGATATACATTTTTCTTTAAACAGTCTCAGTTTCTATATTTTTAACTATACATAATATGTCTTTTAAATGTAGATAACATGTAGGCGAAGGGTTTTTCAGGTTTCAAATTTGTAATGTATTAATTTAGCTTTGTGTGAGTCAGACTATGTAGAAATAAAGCTAGCATGCTGAATCATCCGATTTACGGTAATATGTAAAAATATTTATAGAGAAGGGATATCGAGAATATGCCATTATCACAAAAAAACAACTTATCGATTTACGAAAATGTCTTCTGCATAAAGTGACACATTTTTCTTCTTAATGTATAAAGAAATATGATGCTAATTAATTGAATACAAATTTCGAGCGGGTGTCATTGTGATTTTAACGATCAAAGGAGTCTATTATTCTGTTAATGATTTTGCTGATTAGAAAATCTGGTGGAACTTTGTTAAATTAAAGTTAGAATAAGAATAATATTAAATATATAATAACTATGATAGCTTTATCAAGGAAAGGCCATTAAAGATGCTATGACCATTTAAAGCTAATTAAATATCTTCAAATAAATGAAGAAATAGAATCTTTATAAATAAATCGCGCGGTAACATTCTTTTAAAGGAAAAGGCAGTCACTTCATGAATGTTAAAGAACTCTGTGAGAGAACATCTGCATAATCACCGTTTTAATTTTAATTTTATTTTTATTTTTTTATATATAAAAAGGGTGAAAAGAAAAATTTTTAAAAGGGAGAAGAGAGACGAAAACATAATTTATATAAAAAATGAAATTTATATTGTATTCGAAAATACAAATTGGTATTTGAAAATTAAATTTTAAAGGAACATAAGTTTATCTCTTTAATTTTTATACATTATAAAATTAATAGTAAATTATATTTTATCTTTTGTAAATATCGTATTGCATACAGTTATTATTTAACATGATAACAATTTGAATATGATACAAAAAGTACTACGCTGGAACGGTAAAAAAGTATAAATAAATTTATATTAAAGATAAATAAATTAATAAATTTAGTATATATATAATGGTTTTATATTATCAACATCAATGATTTTTATTGACCGTATCTGGCAACCGTATTTTGCCAGATACGGTCCATAAAAATTATTGATGTTGTTAATTACTACTGGCGACTTTTAAGAGTATTCTTAATAGTTTTTTATATTATCTTATGTTAAGTTTTATATACAGGCTGAATGCTTACTGTGTAAGAGTGAAGAACTATATAATTTTTGTACAGTATTTCAACAACTGCAATCAGACAAGCAGCTTGTTAATTGAACAATTCAAATATCAAGTAGAGCAATGTTGAGATGCGTCCATGTGGGAAGTTTTTTCATTTTTTCCCCCCGAGAGGAAGAAAAGGGGTAATTTAAATGGAATTTTTTTAAGTAATTCTATTTTATTCTTTCATATGTCATTGATATCATATCGTTTTTCTATGCATTTTAATACCTCGACTTGTATCTTATCTATCTTGTGTTTGAACTGTCTCAATATATTTTTACAGCTTATCTATCTTATGTTTCAGCATAACATGTTTTACAGCTTATCTATCTTGTGTTTCAGCCAAGAAAACACATTTGTTGATAAAGAAGAATTAGGTGATAAATTTATCGATTATCCATTGGTATACCTCTTGCACACATTTTATTATTTTATAAAATGTGTACATAATATGCATTATCGTGTCCAACAGACCCGTTCATGCAAACAAATTTTGTTCGTATTTACACACTCTCAAGTGAGAAAGTTAGACATGGATTTTAAGATTTTCGATAAAATAATAACTGAACGCGTTGCAAGCACGAACACTGAATGCCGACTCACGCAAATCTTTTTAAATTTAGCTATTTTTCATCAATTTTATATGATAGAAACTATATTTTTTAAATTTTAATTATTATGCTTTATAACATACATACATTGAAACAACTTAATTGGTGACAATCCTATACTGCATACTTACAGCTCCTTTTGAAGTAAGAAAACGAAAGTAGATAGAAAGAAAAGAGAAAAGAAGAAAATGTTGAAAATAAGAATTAAACACACATATATATATAATTTTTATATGTAAAATAATATTAATTTATAATATTTGAATGTATTATAATTCGAAAAAGATATTCTGCTGTATTTTTACTGACATGAAACGTATGAATCAGGTTAAGTATGATAAGCTCTTGCATATTACTAAATGAATAAGCTTAAGTATATATTATAGAAAATAAGTTTTTATGCGAATTCTGTTGGATGCAATAATGCGCATTAGCTCCGATTAAAATGTTGGCCAACTAAGCGAGTATCATATACAGGGTGCTACGCAAGACTTTGACGTCCGGTCATGGGAAGATAGAGGGGACTAAGACAAACAGAAAAGTATTGTACTATTTTGCGCGTGGACGAATAGTTATCGAGATACGAAATTTTAAAAATCGCCGTATTAGCCCAACCTACTGGCGAATGTAAGCGCGCAGTGAGAGGGCGGCCTAGCGGCCCCCGCGCGGGGAGACGTGCGAGCGGTCGCGTAAGCGGCGGACGGGCAGCGGCGCGCCTCGCCTCCCTACTCCTCGCCCCGCACCGCCATTCTATTCCTCGCCGAACACCGCCTCGAGCGGGGCCGCTAGGCCGACGCTTCTCACCGCGCGCTTACATTCGCCAGTAGGTTGGGCTAATACGGCGATTTTTAAAATTTCGTATCTCGATAACTATTCGTCCAAGCGCAAAATAGTACAATACTTTTCTGTTTGTCTTAGTCCCCTCTACCTTCCCATGACCGGACGTCAAAGTCTTGCGTAGCACCCTGTATAAATCATGTAGTGTTTAGAAAAACGAAAGCTTATCAGTTTGTAAGAATTGCGCTGCAAGTTCAAAGTTTTATTGCTTAAATGCTTTTATAGAGTTATTTTATAGAGCTAAATAGAGTTTACATGACTGTCATGTC